TCCAGAATCATCCAGATGTGTTAATTTGAGTTGATTTTGATTATTTTTGTCCTTTGAATACATTGACCTCTCAATTGGGAGAGAAATGTGATCAGTGTTTGGATCAGTCTTTATATTGATTTGCAATGGCTCCTCCCCATCTACCATGACAACAATATTGACGAGTGGGAGCAGACAGTTGTTGTTTTTTTTTGACAAACAAAGCAAGGGGCTTTTCCTGTGGCAAAGCCCCGACATTGTGTTGGGTCAACAAAGCTAAAATGAAACCCCTGCCAGAATTTGAGGTGGAGTGCGTGCGAGTGTGCTTGTAGCCCGTGTTTCCTCTGTGTGTTTCAGTGTGATGTTGCCAACTCAGAAAACTACGGAACACACGCAGACAGATAGTGAAGAGCCCACCTTTAGAGGTGAGTTATGAGCACTGAATAAGAAGACTTCTAGTGCCCAGTGATTGCATTTGCATTTCAGATTTGATTTTTTTTTCTTATCGCAGGACAAATAGATGTAAGTCAGGCATTTTCCAGCACACCTCTTGCTCCAGCCCATTCTCTTTGGACCACTGATGCTAGAGGTTCAGTCAAGCTGAGAATAGAAGAAGGATGTGCAGAGGAACCCAACACAGTTCACCAGTTGTTTAAAGCCTCAGTTGAAAAATATGGAAACAAGCATGCACTTGCCAGCAAGAAGAACAACAAATGGGAAAAGATAACTTTCCTAGAGTATTACCAGTTGTGCCGGAGAACAGCCAAGAGCTTTCTAAAGGTATATTAAACAAAAGAACTAATTACATTTTAGGTACGTGCTAGACTACACTGTCAATGATCAGACTTTTACAAAGAAAAGTCCAAAACTTTGTTAATGTGTGCAGCTGGGTTTAGAGCGATTCCATGGAGTGGGAATACTAGGATTCAATTCAGCAGAATGGTTCTTCTCTGCAGTCGGTGCAATCATGGCAGGGTGAGAAGCGCACATTACACATCAACAACTGGACCTGGATTAAGCACTAATCGAACTCAGCCAATCACTGCACATAAATACCATATAGGTGTATTTCTCCTGTTGCAGTGAAACATTAAATAACTTCTTTGTTTCTCCTACATCTGTAACAGAGGAATAATGACAGGAATTTATGCCACAAACTCACCGGACGCGTGCCATTACGTGGCTAGTGACTCTAAAGCCAACATTATTGTGGTAGAGAATCAGAAGCAACTGGAGAAGATATTGCAGGTACTATACAATGATATGCACATGCAGTGGGTTTGATTCCACAGCGAAAACATCTTCTCCCTTGCTATTACAGATATGTGACAGACTACCCAATTTAAAAGCCATAGTGCAGTACAGTGGACAGGTTCAGCAGAAGATCTCAAATCTCTACTCTGTAAGTCCTCAGGACAGCACATAAAATGATACAGACCACTATGACTGTTGAGCCTGTGTTCCAAATGGTATATTTCTGCTTTTGGGTAGTGGGAGGAGTTCATGGAGCTGGGTCTGGATGTTTCTGAAAAACAATTGGATGACATTATCAGCAGTCAGAGAGCTAACCAGTGCTGTGTCCTGATCTACACATCTGGCACCACAGGCAAGCCGAAAGGAGTCATGCTCAGTCATGACAATGTAAGCTTTCGTGTGGCTATCAATGTGTGCTTGTATGCCTAATGTGTCTATTAACAAATCTTATTATTGTAACTATGACAAGCTACTTGAAAGCAAAGAAGATCAAATGCAAAAACTTAGAAATACCTCAGAAATGTGTTGTTGTTTGAGGTAAAACAAACAATTTTCTGCACTGAATGAATTTACAGATCACATGGACGGCCATTCATGCCAGCAGGGCTGGAGAAATGCAGCCAGCCGACACTAAACAGGAGTCACTAGTGAGTTACCTGCCTCTCAGCCACATTGCTGCTCAGATTTATGATCTCTGGACAGGCATCCACTGGGGTGAGCTGGTATACTTTGCACAGCCAGATGCCTTAAAGGTAAGTAGTTAAAAATATTTGATCATGTGATTCTAACATGTGTCACAAGAATATGCATTTCGACAACAATCAGTACTACAAGATGTTTAACATGAAAATAGGTGCACTTTCATGGCTCAGATAAAAATAAAAATTTTAGTAATTGTGGAGGCAATAATTTGAATAAGATATTGTAAAAATGCAGTATTGTGCAGACTGAATTCCCACACCCACAATGGTGTTCCCCCTTCATTCTTTTTCACATTTTGCACATTTGCTCTGTAGGGAAGCTTGATAACTACACTTCGGGAGGCTCGCCCAACATCCCACATGGGTGTCCCACGGGTATGGGAGAAAATGATGGAGAAGATAAAACAGGAGATTAGTCAGTGTGGATATTTGAAAAAGAAACTGGTTACATGGGCAATGTCAGTCAGCCAGGAAACAAATCAAAAGTGTACGCATGAGTGAGTAGAGTTTTGATTCTCAATAATTATTTATAAAATGTGCATATACATGTAATTTTCCCAGAAGAGATGTTTTCATTCAAAAGTTTCATTTGCAATTTTATTAGGGATGATGAGAAACCGTTCCTTTTTTACGTGGCTGACAGCCTTGTGCTGCAGAAGCTTCGGAATGAGCTGGGCCTGTCTTGCTGTCAGAAGTTCTTTTCAGGAGCAGCACCGATCAGTAGTGAAACCGTGCAGTTTTTCCTGGGTCTGAACATCCGCTTGTATGAAGCCTATGGCATGAGCGAGAGCACAGGACCTCACTTCATGTCAGGTCCAAAAGCTTATAAACTGCCAAGGTGAAAAAAAATAATAATAATGTTTTTTTCAAAATCAAGAATTGTAAAAAATTACTTGTGTTTGTGGTCCTCATGTTTTGAATTGTAATAAAGTTTAAGACACAGAAAACTCCTTTTTTGACCTATAGCTGTGGAAAAGTGGTGCCTGGCTGTCGATACAAATTGGCCAGTGTAGACTGTGAAGGGACAGGAGAAATTTGCTTTTGGGGACGCAACATTTTCATGGGTTTCCTCAACATGGAAGACAAAACAAGAGAAGCTTTGGATGAAGATGGATGGCTGCATTCTGGGGACTTGGGGAAGGTTGATGAAGAGGGTTTCTTGTACATCACAGGAAGGATAAAAGGTAGCATAATCTCATCAAACCAAACTATTGTGAGAGTGTAACTGGACATTTTAGGTCACTGACTCACACTGTGGAAAGAGCATGGTGTCCTGGGCAGAAATAAGACTTCTTTCTCTGTGATGTGAGTCACAAACAGCTGAAATGTCAGGTTGTCTACGCCTTGCATTTAGAGTTGATCATCACAGCTGGAGGAGAGAATGTTCCACCTGTTCCCATAGAAGAAGCAGTAAAGAAGGAGCTACCCATCATCAGCAATGCCATGCTGATTGGAGACAAAAAGAAGTTTTTGTCCATGCTTTTAACCTTAAAGGTAATCTGCTGTAATTGTTCTGATTTCTCCAGCAACATAGCATGAATAGTGACAAGAGAACTGTTAAATGCTTTTCTCACTTACAGGTGTGACAATGATCAATTTAACCCTATAGTCACAATTTCTATGTATATGATGTTGGGATTTATCCCGTTTTTCAGTGTTGTAGCAATACCAAAACCATGGAGCCAACAGAGGAACTCAGTATGGAAGCTGTGGAGTTTTGCAGACAGCTGGGCAGCCAAGCAAGCAAAATGTCTGACATAACTGGTGGAAAAGACAAAAAAGTGTACCAGGCAATTCAAAAGGGGATTGACAGAGTCAACTCTGCAGCCACCTCCTACGCCCAACGCATACAAAAATGGACCATTCTGAGAAAGGACTTCTCTGTTTCTGGAGGAGAACTGGGTAAATTCAGCAGAACACTGTTAAAAAAAGATTAATACTATACAATAAAGGTTTATGCTGGTATACCATAATATCAAGACCATGTAACACAATACAGGTGCAAGTTGTATCGAATCAGTTGCACATTGCAGAGAATCTATAAATGATTTAGTATTTTCTTGTTCCAGGTCCTACAATGAAGCTTCGCCGTCCAGTTGTCTTAGAGATGTACCACAAAGTTATAGAGAGCCTTTATCAAGGATAAAGTCACTTTCTACTGTGTAACTCTTAGTATGAAAACATGTGTCATTTTCCTTCATCTCATCCCCTGTGAACTAGCATAAAATGTAATTACAGTACAGCACAAAAGTCTTGAGCCAACCCTCATTTCTTTTTATTTTGGTTCCAATGAGTCAAACTTTCTTGTCATTTTTTGAAGTGTTCTTGAGTGGTCAGATTATACAAGAACTGCACTGACAATTTGTGGTTACAGGTGTTATGGTATGATGAATCCAAATTTGACACTTGTGGTTCAAATCATCACAATGTACAATGAAGGTCAGGAGAGAGGTGCAACAGTGAGTGTCTGCAGCCATCTGAGAAACACGATAGAGGCTCTGTCATGTTTTGAGGCTGCATTTCAGCCATTGGTGTTGGAGGATCTTTCCAAAATGGATGGAAATATGAATGCAGAAGTGTACTATTGGAGTCTGATTCACAATCCAATAGCATCTGGAAAGTATTTGACAATGGCTTCATTTTTCAGCATGACAATGATCCAAAGTAGTAAAAGCATTCCTACAAAAAACACTTTTCTATTGGGTTTGGCCTCCCAAGGGTCCGGTCCTAATCGTTCTTGAAGCAGTGTGGGATCATCTTGACACAGAATGAAACAAAGAGATCAAATCTGAAGAGATTTGAGATATCCTTCAAGAAGCCTGGAGAAATATTCCTGAAGACTATTTAAATAAATTACAACATGTACAAATTACAAGAACGTTGTGGCCATACCAATTTGAACTGTACAAACTGTTTTTGCCTTATATCCTGTATTTCCTTGTAAGTTTCCACATTTCAATAAATAATTGAACCTATTATCCATTTTCACTGCATACTATAAAGAAATGAGGGGTGGCTTAAAACTATTGTATCTATTCTGCAGAATGAAAAAAAGAGAACCACACATAGTGTTTAAAGGATATTTTATTTAATAAGTTTAAAGTTACACCATTTTAATGCAACTTTTACCTTGCCAACACTGATTTTGACTTGTTTAAAATGATACCAATCATCTTGCCTGACAGGAAAATTGGTGGAAGTGCTTTATAACATTGATGAGAAAGACATGCTTCTACCCAGAAATCAGTTATAACAGCTATCAGAGTCATTTGAATAACACTGAATAAAAATTATGGCATTTCTGATGTCAGTGTAATACCAATTTTACAATAATTACATAAGCAAACAGTAAGTTTTCAAAAAACATTTAGTAAAAAAAATCTCTAATGTGTTTACAGATGGATTATCTAAGCAACTAAATGTGAAGCAGAGTTTGACTTCTTAGCATATGATTTGTTTGTCAAGTGGAATTTGTGGCTGTGTCTTCAAATACCATTGTCAAATACATTAAACACATTTCACCAATAAATAGATAATATTCACCACTGATACACAGGAAAATCACGTATGCATATTCCATATACACAAACCACTGTTAACACAGTTGTTTGGATTGTGCAGAGAGAAAAATTAAACATTCAGGATCTCAAACTCCTGAGTAGATTTTTCTTTTTTGGTTGAAATGTGCGGATACAGCATGATATGGTCAAGTGGGCAAAACCCTAACAATTAATAAACATATCTCATTAATGTCCTTTTAGTCCATATCCTTCATTTTCTGACATATTGCTTCTGTGAATTCTGAGCACTTTGAGTTCCCTCCCAGGTCTTTGGTCAGAACCTTGAAGATGAATAACATAAGCATTATAAATTAGAAAACAGGTGTACACCATATAACCCAAACTGCAATTCTCCAGAAAAGAAGTAATTACCTTTCTGTCTCGAATTGTGTCAAAACAGGCAGTTTCAATCTTCTTGGCATGCCCATGAAGACCCATGTGCCGCAGCATCATGACTGCACTGAGCAGCAGGGCGGTGGGGTTAGCCAAGTCTTTTCCTGCTATATCTGGAGCAGTTCCATGAACCTGATTTTACAGAAGAAGGTGGTATTTTTAAAGAACAACAAACACAAATAGACTGTGGATTTTCTGTGCAACTTGTATGTTGATCATGTATCTGAAACCTTACAAAAATGACCCCATACCGACTCAAATATGGCCACACCATTTGCACCAATGTTTCCACTAGGAGTCACTCCAAGACCTCCAATTAATCCGGCACAAAGATCACTGTAATGGTAAACACATAGGGTTACCTTTAGATTTCATAAAACATATACTGGATAACATAAATTTAACATAAATTCATAACATGAATGAGCAATCACATTTTTAATATTGTGTCAATATTTTTGTTGCTTTTTTACAACTCCAGACAATTTTGCTGTCGCCCATGTGTGTTTCAGCTCTCTGTTTTGTATGCTAACTAGTGTGTGCAGGGGTATTCTTGTTCATAATGAGTACCTCCATGGATTGCTCTTGCTCCACCTAACCACTGTTGACACAGGCTGGACAAGTGTCTGATCTTATGCACCACCAAGCTGCATCACGAATCATCACAGCTGTTTAAAGGGATATCCAATTTTCATTCAAGCAGGCTGTGACTTAGAGTAACTCCTCACTGTTTTGTTTGGTGTTGGCTACAAGAATAGGGTTTCCTACATTTACCATACTGCCTCTGTAAGGACCAGTTAGGAGTTAGTTTAACACAGTTAGGTTGTAAGTTTTTTGTTAGAGACACTAGGTTAGAGGTGCTACTACTACTGTATTTTTGGTATGAAAACATAGGATTTAATTACACTTTTTTCTTCATTTAGAACAGTCAGGATCCACCTCCTCAGCACTCTCCTGTTCATTCTGTTACCTCCCTTTTTCCTAGTGAACCACAGTTAAAAAATGTCGTCTTTGATTGATAAAGTGCAAAAGAAAAGACTCATAATTTGTCTTGTTCTTATGAGTATTTTAACATAAGAGATTTACTGGTGACAGTTGTGTACCTTAAGATATCTCCATACAAATTTGGCATCACTAGTACATCAAACTGTGTGGGATCCTGCACCATCTGTAAGTTTGGATGAATAAGGAATTTAAAACAAAAATACAGCAAAGCATTCTTTTATAGCCATCTAAAACATATTCGGACTAATTTACCACAAAAGCTATTGGGACATACATTAAGGCACACGGTATCCAAGTACATCTCAGTGAATTTCACATCTTTGTACTTTTCAGCGGCCTCTCTACATTTTCGTAGGAAAAGTCCATCTGACATGCGCCTAAATGAAAAAAAGAGAAGCAAAAATGTAGTTTCATGCAGCTTCACAATGACAAATGACTTAACTTGTGCTAAAATATACTTACATGATATTTGCCTTATGAACAGCTGTAACACTGGCTCTCTGATTGTTTCTTGCATATTCAAAAGCGTACTCTGCAATGCGTTTGCTGGCTTGTTCGGTGATGAGCTTAATACTCTGTACAACGCCATCAACAATCTGAAATAAAAAGAATGAACAGTGAACACGACTACAGTGCTGTGCAAATGTCTTGAGCCACCCCTCATTACTTGGAGATAATTTATCCAAATTTCAGGAGTGGGACCACACCTCATATATAAACCGCCTGCACTGAAAGCTGTTTGTTATTGTTTTCGTGCCCTATCCTGCCTCCTGTTTCAAAATTAATTCACCTCTCATTAGTGGCCTGGGACCCACCACCAATCCCTGCTGAGGCCTTCCCCAGTCTCAATTCACGCTTATGCCATCTGCTGTTATCTTAAAGAAATGCAGTCAAACCTAAATGAAGATGTGGTCCCTGCTAGGTAATTTATATTTTACTTCAGATTTTTAAAGTGGTCTTGACCAGAAGTTCTCTAAGTTTTCTGAAGGTCTTTCAAAGTATATCTTTGGACTGAAAATGTGTGAAAAAGCAGCCAATGTTCAGTCTTTGTCCCCAACCATTTTCAGAGGAGTGTTTTGTTGTCTTTAAACTTTGTTAAGAAGCAGGAGTACCCAGAAACAGCCCACACATGAAATTAGTGAAGTTAGGGTAAGTGGTGATTCTAAATTGCCCTTGGGTATGAATTTGATTGCGAATGGTTGTCTGTCTCTTTGTGTTTGCCCTGTGACACACTTGGGACCCATCCAGAGTACATATCACCTCTTGGCCTATGACAGTCGGGATAGCCTCCAGCCCACCTGTGACCCTGAGACAAGTTAAATATGAGCACAAAAGTAACCCATGGAGTGTTTTCCCAGGAAATGTAAAGTATAAATAACTGCTTAACACTTTAGTTTAACAACAACTAATGTACCAGTAACTAAACCTTGTAACTCATGAGTAGCTGCACAATACTGTCAAATAATAAAACTGAACAATATTTTCTACCTGGGGTGATGTAGCTGGGCTCGAGTTTTTTAACCACTTGCTTAAGGCCTTTTTTTTTTAACATGTTTGGACTGGCATCATAACTGTGGCCTATTAAGAGGTAATTTCAGTCATTTCTCTTTCTATCATATGGAGTGTAACTAGCAAGCAACGTTCAGTTGAGACATTTGTTTACTTTTGGCTTGCAAAAGTTACCTTTTTCTCATTTGTATTCAAGTTGTACTCAAGTGGTGAAATGTGTTTGTTGCTTCCAACATTAGTGGAAACAATTTTCAGAAATGTTTTTTTCTACAGTAAATTATAATCAGAGGCCGAGACTGACTCTTTCTCTAACGTGCCCAAGCGTGTCTCGCAGAAGCCCACACCAGGGATGTTATACAAGTGTCAGTGCTTTAGCAATGATATCATGATATAACATTTTTATTTGATGTAAAAGCTTTTTACCGGTATAATTGCAAATGATACGATATGTGAAAAATCTACTCTAACACACCGCCAATGCAGTGATTGTATACTGGGTAGGAAAAAACAAACAGTGGAACACTATTGGTTATGGACTGGCCTCTTCAGAGCCTGGACCGCAACATTTCTGAAGCAGTGTAGGATCATCTCAACCAACATCCAAAGAAAAGGTTTGAATGTTCTTCCAGAAGCCTAGAGAACTATTCCTGAAAACTGTTAAAATAAATTACAAGAAAGCTTGTCAAGTCAAAAGGTAATGTTAATAAAGGTCTTACAACATGTTCAATTCCACTGTATTCTCCCTCGGTGTTCTCCCTGATTGTGACCAGGTTCACATCAGTGTAGGGGGTCTGGTAGCCCTCAATGGACACGCAGGGCCGCACATTAGCATAGAGGTCGAAGGTTTTCCTCAACAACAGGTTCATGGAGGGATGGCCAGCAGCTATTGGTGTCTTCAAAGGGCCTTTAGATTGTTAAAGAATTCAAAAATATTTCATGTCAAACCAAAAGAATATGTCTAAAAACCTGGTGATTGGTTTGGAAGTTTTTCTCTCTTAAGCATGCCAAATTTAATTAATGCCCCTAATAAAATTTAATTTCCAAGCTGCTGATGTGGGAACACATGAGGGTGAAGTTCCTGGAATAAAGAGATTAGTACATATTCCCAATATACACACCATTACCTAGAACTGTCCTACTGTTTAACTTTGCCATAAAAAAAACAAAACAAAAAAAAAACATATAGATAAATCAATCAGGTTACCTTTCAGGCCAATTTTGTTCTTGTCCATTGATTCTTTGGCATCTGGAGGTATCATCCACTTTCCACCAGGTCCCCGAATGGCTGTAACATTTCTCTCTTCCCACCGAATAGGTGCCTATATCAAAAGGACATTCAATTCATTCTTTTTTCCCAGAAACTTTGTTATCTACAATTATACTAATCATATTTCTATTGTTATATGATTTATGTGGTATCAGTGCTCAAACATTATATTATTCTCTGATAAAATCTGAAAAATAAATATGCATGTTAATGATTTTTTTTAAAACTGTTTTTCAGTACTAACTTTAGCTGCTTCAAATATTTTCATGACAGCATTGGAGATCTCTGGACCAATCCCATCACCGGGGATTAAAGTGACAGTCTGAATCTGTGAGGCAGGACAAACACAAGTTTTATTGCACACTGATGAGGTAGTTCAAATTTAATATAACCTCGAAGTTACAGAAAAAACCTTCACACAAAAAAGTCTGTAGTTTTACAAGGAAAATTAAATACCCCACGGGTGAAAGTCCTGGAATGTGGGGTCTCATTCTTCAAAGCCCCAACTACCTGTGACAACTGAGAAAAAAACAAATCGATTTTTTTCCTCCCAACACTATTCTGCTGTTTATTTATGGAAATAAGAAAAAGCACTGAAAACATGTCTGTGTATAGTGTGAGGTGAACTGAACAGATGTCTTGAGTAATGATGATGACCAAATTTGTGCATTGCTGTGTTTAACAGTACAACATATTTGACTGGTATAGCTGTTTGGCAAGTTTGTATTGGTTTTGCAAACGATTACATTGTCAGTGTAATCTAAATATGTAAAACAATGCAACTGCATGAAGCTCCTATGTGAGCAAGCAGAGAAACAGGAAGATAGGCAGACAGACAAACAGCTGAAGGCAACCCTGACTTGGAAAAGATTACAAAACAGAGTCTCTATTCCAGATGTGGTCACATCAGAAGCGAGAGTAACTGCCTGCGAGCTCTTTTTCCAGTGCAGCAAGGATATACAGTATTTAAAGTTAGGTACACTTAACTTACTTCCTGTGGTTTGAGTTTATCCTTGCCATTGATCGATAAACCCAACTTTGTTAGTAGATTAAGAATCTGTAGATGATAGACATGTGTTTCCATAACGCATCCTTAATAAAAACATGTTCAACTAGAGCAACGAAGCCACAAATTGCTTCTACATTGCATTACACGAGACTAAACATACACTTGGCTAAATAGCTGCTAGCTAAACGTGTCAGGTTGCTATAGCAACTACGGGCATATAGCCTGTGCATTAGCGGTCAGCTAAGTAGTTAGCAGTGGATGTTCTGCCTCTGGGATGCTGTCAGCGGGACAGACAATAAGTGTTCGCTGATGAACTGAAACAAAATTGATCTAGTGCAACTATGACACATTTCCATAAGTTTCAACGTACATACCGCTGACCTCCACGCCTTCCCTGCCATTCTGAACGAACCAAGGTCGACACAGCAGATGTAGCAACTGTCGAGCTTCTTCTTCTTGTTATTTTGTTGGCGGTATTTTACACCCCCCGAAACGGTGCATTACTGCCACCAACTGGTATGAAGTGTATATATATATATATATATATACACACACACACACACACACACACAGGTTTAAATACACAATTTAAACTAGTGTGCCCACGTTTAAGTCTGTAAGTCGTGATATGACTCGCCTGTTCCCACTTGAGCTTCTCATTTCTCCTGCCTTCATTCAGATTTTGTAAAAACAACTTCCTTTGCTTTCTTACTCCCATTATCTTTTTTATCCCCCTTCCTCCATTTCCACCGTATTAAGCCCTTTATCTCTGTCCTACTGACATGAAAGACGTTTTCTGGCCTTTGTCATATGTGCAATTTCATTTCCTTTAACTTCATAATGTGCTGATAGCCATAAAGTGTTTGCTGACTATCAAAAGTCAGAATAACTGTGCTGTAAAGCGGCCAATGATGAAGCTGAATCTGAACTTACTGTTATTTTTAATTGTCTTATGATTGCATCGACTGAACTACTAAAAGTATTGAAAGTATTTCTCCTGTGTATGTTGATCACGTCTTTATGTCAAATGGAATGTAAAACTCAAAGACAGGATCTCTCTTGGCTCTTACTTTTCTAACTTCTGGATAAAGATAATGAAAAAAGACTAAATTAAACTAAAACTAAATGCAAGCTTCTCATATGGGCTATATTGTAAATAGCATAATAATAGTGAATGCATCCGGATGTTTGCTTAGCGTTGCAACACTATTACCGCCTGCAGGTGGCGCCAGTTGACCGCTTCTAACACGCCGATGAACAACTTCTGCAGGCTATAACCTTCTGCTTTATGTTTTAAAATCATGTTCATTGGTTCAGAGTGAGCAAACATGGGTCTGTATGAATATATGTATGAGATGTATACATATCACACACATGTTTTGTTAATATATACAGATATATTAGTAAAAATAAAAGCGGGGGTACACCATTAAAGCTTCATACGCACTGTATTTTCCACATTTTGATTGCACATATAATAAACTTTATGGTATAAAACAAGTAGAAACAGCTGAAGCAATCATTAAATCACCTTTTTCTTTTTGCAGAAATTGAACTTGCAAAGAAAGCACACAGCATGGGACACAATAACTTCCCGAATTCTCCAGCAATGCAAAATGGAAAAAAGCTATAAATTACTGAGAACCAATAGAAAATCTTAAGCAGCATAAAGCAGCTCTCAGCATAAATGGAGGCTACAATATGGTACAAAATGCACACTGTGCAAGTAAAAGACATCTTTGAACCAAACTGAGGGCTGTCGGTACGGGTAAAGGTTTTCACACCACCTACATGTTTTGTCCAATACCCAATGCATAGGATGAGTACAAGGTCAGCAAATGCCACACACGGCAAGACAGCGCACATGTGTCAGGCAATGGTAAATGTCAAGCATTTCGATACAGAGTGGTTAATCTGCAAAAATCTACAGTACATTAGCCATGGTATATCACACAAGCAGAGAAGTTGATAAATGTTGCCCACGAATGTGTTCGAAATAGGCCGGTTCAGATGGCATATTGTTTTGGTTGCTTCTTCAGGCTCATGGATCGTTCAGTTTGTGAAATCACATGAGTGGCTCTGTTGTTGAGGAGTCTGCATTCATGAAGAACATCTGTACAAAGAAAAATACATAAAAAGTCAAGGAATACACTATGCATCTAACACTGTTAGCAACCAGCTACATATCTAGGAACAGGTCTGCAGATATTCTCTTACCATTAAATTGCTTATAGGCTTCTTCAACAATGGCGTTATTAGATCTCTTTATCTCCCAGTAAGTATCTTCCACCCATGGCTTGCAATCAGAATGTTCAACAAGCTGTCCATTCTTGTACAGACCAGCTGATCATCATTCAAAAAAAGTAAATATCAGTCTCGGTATATTATACAAGCAAAGGCAAACACAAATGCATCACAACTGTCAGCGGTGCCACAATCCCCAAATTAATCCAGTAAACAAAGTGTGACAAAGTGTCATTAAAATATACCTTTTATGGTATCATCAATGTCCTTGCATAACTGATACAGATCGCTTCCACGCCCAACAACTCTTTCACCTGCAATTTAAGCAGATTAATTCATTAAAACACGAAACTCTTACAAGTTAATGTTGAGCAGTTAAATGTCCAAAGAATGGGGAAAAAAACTTACCATCCAGCACTTTGATATTGGGGAACATCTCGAGAACTACCGCTCTATATGAAGAGTTTCTGCACACTGCCATAAAGAAACTTAACATGAGTTCATTAATCGAGAATTTCCATCCACTGGAATATGTTCAAAGTCACCAAAATTACCTGGATTAGTGTAATTATATGTGTTGTCTTTCAGACGTATATTTTCTAGCTTTCTCAAAGAAACAAGGCAGTGTAGGTTCTCAATACTGTTGAAAAGCAAAACAGACATGCTCTTAAAATGCCTAACAACACAGTAACTTATGCATAAAGCTTTTCTGCTTTTATGTCAGTAACACAGCCGCTTGTGACATATTCACATTTTTAATCACCTGCAGGAAAAAAAAGACATTCAGTGGTTATTTAGTGTTACCTGGATATAATATTACCAGCCACATTTAAGTTCTGTAAAACGTCACAAGTGCGCAGGGGCTCTGGAAATACAAAAGCAGTGACCAATTTATGAGAAATTTTAAAGGCTTTTCATGACATTAATCATCTTAATAATGCAAGAAATAAATAATATTTTTCTTCTAAAATTGTACCTAAACTGGAGACCCTGTTGTTAGACAAATTGAGGACTGAAAGAAGCCGTAGAGATGCTAAAGGAGCCAAATTTGTGATATTATTTCCAGAGAGGTCCAGTCTCTCCAGGTTTATACATTCCCCAGTGCATCCAAGATCATGTATACCTACAAGACATACAATTTAAATCATAAATGAAATGCAAATTTTGCAGAATGAAATGCTAATATATTATTTCCATCTTACCGAGATTTCTTAATTTGAGAAACAATATCGACTCCAGATCAAATTCCCCGGTACGTGACTTGAGCAGCACGGCAGTTATCTTTTCATGGTCTGCATCTGAAAGAATACGAGTCACAAGACTTCAGCAGAGCAAAGCATATTTATTTTTCTATTTGCATGCACCCACTCTGTCATTGTTCGTGAGTCAGCACTGCAAAAGAAAACGCTAGAAGCACAGTGTCTGTTCTGCTTACAGTATAAGCAAATAATCCAGGCAATCATCTCTAATAGGGGACAAAAAAAAATTTTAGACAAGCAGTTTCTGAATTTCATATCTGGCTGCACGCTGGGATGTCCTCTTGAGGATAGGGTCACAAACAGATGTGCTGCTGGGTGGTATTATCTCGCCAGTTGTATGCATAAATAAAAGAAACCCAGGGAGTTATATTTGGCTTGATTCCCTGAGGCAGTGTCAGCCAGCTCTTATTAAGAGAGGTAAAAGGAAATCACGGTTGACCAGAGATGATGATGATAATGATGCTGATGTAGGGCTCTGTTATTTTCTTGGTCATCCTCTTATTATATTTTCAGATATGCAGCACAATTTTTATTTACTTATTTAATAAAAACTAAATGAGCACTGACAGACATGGATTCATATTCTTAAATATGACAGAGAATGGATTGGGTGTAAGCAGGGACTAATGTTTTGCACTGCACCTGCAGAAAGAAAGGTCACGGTGTTTAGATTACCGCACAGTCTGCCAGCAATAACGTTACAACTTGTTAGCAGAGGCATTAAAGGGACTTTGTTAGCCCATGTTAGCTATATTCGTGAGACAGCGGCTGCGTGAATTAAATCATGAGGATGATTCAGCCGGATGAAAGTGGGTGGGTTCTTGAATATAATTAAAAACGTTCCCCGTCTGTTTTATTTATTTATTTTGTCATGAGATGATATAAGCAAAATGTTGTGTAACAAACAAAAAGGGGTTATGTTGTAGCTGAAAGCACAGCTACCTAGCATAAGCAGCTAGTGGCTAGCAAAGCAACGTAGCAACAAGCTACCCATCACAACTTACCTTGGTCCTTCTCTCGCTTGGAGTCCATCCTGGGCAACTTTGCTACCGTCAAAGCTGCCTAACCTGGTAAAGAGCGACACTTTTAACCAGTGTGGTGGTTAGGAGAGGTAGTGGCTCTGTGGGGTGAATGTGAAATTATCATCTGTCCTGGTGTGCAGTCAGGACACGCTCACTGTACTGCCGTGCTGTAAATAGCACGCAGGTGGATGAGACGGACCTCAGCCTCCGCAGCCGGCAGAGGGATGGGGGAGGCGATAATCTGCGGTGCAGGCTGCTGAAAGAAGCTGCACACCTGCTTAAGTAAATATATAAATAAGAAATGCACATATATTAGATGCCTCTTCCGTGCAACAGGTTCTCGGGTCAATTAAAAGTTGTCGTCTTGCTACTGTGCCGTCGATAATAACTATGCTGGGGTTTCTGCATTTGTGGTATGCTACTACTATATAGCATATAGCAGAATAGTTATGCATTGTACCAAATGGTAATTAGCAGCGGAGCCAAGTTTTTCTCCTTGTAATTACTATACATATAAATATAATATTGGGCTTGTACTGTATTAAATCCGAGGTGGACATATTGTAATATTAAATATCATTGGCATAGCCACCTGTAAGATAACTTTTATCATTGTATTTACTGTACATACTGCAGGTTAACAATATATATA